ACGGAATAGACTTGAATTAATTAATAACCAGGATACAAGCGGACTCCAAGTTCAGGTTGACGGACCAACACTTTGTAATATTTTGCTGACCTGAAGCCACTCAGAAAACATTGTCCCATGTGCAGAATCCACCTCTGGTGTTTTTAGCAAGTTATGCTCATGTGCTGCATCAAGTATTAAATCGGGTGAATAGTTTGGTTTTGTATTTGTATGAGCTTTGGAGAGGGCTCCTGTTCACATCGTAAAGTACAAAGGCCGACTTGTTGGAACTAAGCAAACACTCTTGAAGCAGATGCTGGCTTAAGGCTGAGGATGCAGGCTTGTGACGTTTAGTTGCCTACTTTCCTCTCTGTTCTGGCACACAGACAAACGGCCTATTGATGCTCTTCTGTGAAACCAGGAATTTCAGTTTTAAACATGAACCTCAGGATATTACCCTCCAGCTGACAGCTTTATTTAAGAAGCTGCTGGGCACTAAGTGATATGTAGCACATTTTGTTTATCACAATAATCTATTAAATATAATATAGTTTGCTGAGGATATAGAAGGGAATCTCCTTTTGCATTTGTTCAGAAATTGCCCCTTTTCTCTCCGTTCATTGGATTCAAATTTTTATTCATCAGTAACATGTTTAACTTACATTGACTTGCAAAAGCTTTCGAGCCCCTTGAACTACTTCCACATTTTGCCACATTAAAACCACAAACTTCTATGTATTTTGTTAGGATTTTGTGATAGACCTGCACAAAGTAAGGCGTGATTGTTGTAAATAAAACTCTGAAGAGTGGGATGTCAACACTTTGTAGAGTCACTTGCAGTCTCTTGGGGTTCGCCTCTACCAGCGTTGCACATCTGGAGTCTGAAATCTTTCCTTATTATTCTTTGCAACATATTTTAAGCTCAGAGTGGATGGAGAGAATCTGAGGACATCAGATTTTAAATACTTGATAAAGATTCTTAAGTGGATTCTAACATAATCTTTCTAACACATGAATATTTTTTGATATAAACTCTTCTCTGTGTAGTTGTTCAGCTGGAAGGTGAAACTGTGTCTCAGTTTCAATTTTTTTTTTTTTTTGCATTCATCTCCATCTTCCCATCAAAATTGACAAGTCCTCTGTTTCTGGTAAAGAAACACCAACTTCACCTGGTTCAAATTCTGTTTAAAAAAAAAAAAAAGCTTATATTCAACACCTTTTGCTATCCAATTATTTATTGTCTAATTGAAAGAAAAAAAAAGTAAACAGTTCAGCCCCACACCGAGTTTAAGTTGAGCAGAAAGAGCTGAGCTTTTATACATGCTAGAAGTATTTTTAAGCTGCAGATGCATTCTATTACATTTTAAATGAAAAATCTCCAGAATATGCCAATAGTTCTAGTAACTGAATAATTGATTACTAAAATAATCGGTTACAGCCATAAATTAGCATTTTTTTTTTTTTTTTTTTGGTGATAGTAGGGTTTCTTGCTTCTGAGCTGTCTCGCCTTTGTTTGCAGTGAGTGACGGAAAGCCTCTCTCAGAGATCGCCGGGCCCTTCTCGGCAGCAGACGTGGCAGCAGACTGCTCCGGCGGCGTGCTGAAGGAGCCCGTCCTGTGGATGATCTCCTACGCCCTGGTGGCAGTCTGCGCCCTGATCCTCATCGGCCTGCTGCTGCTGCTGCTGCTGCCCTGCAGGCACCGTGACCGCGGGGAGATCACAGACGAGTCCTCACTGGTGCGGCATCGCATCAAGTGACTGCGGGGAAACGGACGGGCGAGCGCGGTCAAAGGACTGGGAGACAGCGGACAGAGCCCGTCCAGAGCTGAGGAGTAGAGGGTGGAGGTCAGTTTGCACTGACCAGCCATGCTGAATAAGAATGATTTTAGGCTGGACTCATAAGCTTGGCCCACGGAGGTAGAAGGACAGTTGAGCTGCCTCTTAAAGGGAAATTCCACCTAAAAACAGCTGATAAAAAAAACAAAACAAAACAAAAAAAACGTCCTAAAACAGCTGCTAGAGCTGAATGTGTGCTCCAGTGGTTGCATTTTTCTTCCTCCCACTTCTACTCAAACAAAGTGAACGGTGTCAAGATAAAAGGAGGACCCTCTGACTACGGCTTTTATGAACCTCAATGCAGTGAAGTCTTGTGGTTGTGACTCATTTTTTTCCCTAATGGGAAAATTAATACACTAAGAGTGTGTTCTCACCCTATACATCTCAATTGAACCAAGTTATTTGGTAAAATGTAGGACATAAAACACAAAGCTCCACCAAATTATGAAAGTCACAAAGTATCCCGTCTCTTTGCTGCACATCGACCCAGCTATGAGTATTATTAGAAGTAAGGAGATGAGGAGCACCTTTGGACCCTTCTGTGTTTTTATTATTCAAGGGACGTATATTTTAAAACTCAGTGTCGATTATCTACAACAAATCTTTCTTTTTGTAGTTTACAACACTTATGCCAATTCTATGATTTGATTGTTGGGGCTTTTTGTATGCTGACTCTCCACTCTTAAGTGGGGCAAAAAGAAAGTTTGTGGGAATAAAGCTGCTCAGATAACCGTTGGTAGTGCTATTGATACTTTAAAACAACAGGTTTACTTTGCCTGCAGTGCCTTTGTTTCTTAGCTCTCTGCTCAAACTGATCAATCGTATCAGCAGGTTAAGATTCACTCTGCTGACGTGCACTTTGTCTCCAAAGCTGATCAACAGTATAATACAAAGCGACAGATCAATATCTGTTATACAATTTTTTTTGTATTGTGATTTGTGTAAATCTTTCAGATTTATGTGTTTGAGAGGTTTTTTGTTGTTGTTGTTGTTGTTGTTGCGCTATTATTTCTGATCCTGCAGCCTAATGTCAAAAGGCTACTTCTATACAGCACCTTTCGTTTTACAAACCAAGAAGTATATGTGAAGGATTCCTGAAGTGCATAAGTTGGAAAAACATCTCCTCGTTCTGGGTAGGACTATGGTTTGCAGTCCTGTAAATCTAACTGACTTGATGGCTTTCAAGTAAAAAGTCTTTGCACATCAGCCAGATTAATGCTACACAAGACGACTCACCAGTAAAGCTGGGGAGGACAAAAAATACTGTGTGGAGTAATGTAGATTCAAACCTCAGTGAGTTGTCCTGAGCTGCACACTCATACTTGTCTTACTAATGTTGCCCAAAGTCTGAACTCTGAACATGTAAAACTTTAGTTTGACGTACACATGAATATTTGACTGTTCATTTATTTAACTGTCTATGCTTTCAGTGCCAAACATTGTTAACTGTGTTGTGAATAAAATCATTTGGGACAAATCAAACATTTTAAATTAAAAAAATATTTTGGGAGCCAAAGAGAAAAAAAATGTATTCTTGTTTTTTGTTTTGTTTTGTTTTCTTATATATCAATCCCACCATTGTCCAGCTTATTTGGGCTTCAACGGCATTTGAATTTACCAGATTTTGTTTTGCTATTTTTAAATGTGCTACACAAGTGGAATACCTTGTTCTATGCTATTCTATGCAGATGCTCTGTCTGCACTGGTGAAGATTTGCTTACCTTGGTGAGCTGAATGCTTACAGACTGAGATGGCAGAGGAATTGGGCTCAGTTTCTTATTTAACAAATAATTAAAAAACAACTTGGGGCATCAAAGACTGTGAGTTGTAAAGGCAGCCATTAGACAGTTGTGTGACAAAGTTCAGCTTACAGATTAGTTCTGTTTTTATTTTGTCTCCAATAAATAAATGTTCAACATCATCAAGCTAATTTTAAAGTCAGGTAACTTGCGTGAAAATAAAATGCAGCTTTCAAATGAGTTAATATTTACAGGGGGAAAGATGATATAAACCAATGGGACCCTTTGTCAAAAAACTAATCATCCCAGATCATTAAGTTGTGAGTAAAACTGCGATTGACAATGTCTTTATGGACGGCTGGGTTTGCTCACTAGCCACACCCTGGCCTGATTATTGCTTGACCTGTAGAATAAAAAAAAATATTTAAATAGAGCCAGTCTGATAATATCAATAAGATAAAACATCTTAAAGTATCACATCACACCCTTATCTAAAAATATAAGGGAGAGTCAATATCCCCAAATCAAGAAAGCATTGAAAAGCATTGAGTAGTAGTGAACCTATCCAGGAGTGGTTGGCCTTTTAAAATGATTCCCTAGAGCTCGACAATTCATCAAGGAGGGCACAAAAGAACCCAGATCAACATCTCAACACTGCATTCTCAACAGAATGTTTTTCCAAAAATGTCACTCAATTCAAGTCACTGTACTTATCCCAAAGGGAAATCAAAATGTTGTAGAGCACATCATCCAACTGTGCTCTACAACACGTTGTTGCAGATGGCGATGCTGTGGCCAGGAAGGCTCTCCAATAGCAGTCAGTGTTGCAACGAATCTGAAGAGGCCTCTCAGTGAAAACTACCGGGGATATTTCAGAAACGGAACATTTCAAACCTGGTGGTCGCAGTATGATGAACTGTGGCTCACACTGATGGAAACGTGTGAACTGGGACAACCTGCTTTAGTTGGCAGGGCCATAAGTTCACAGCTGGACGACGATCCAGGTCATCACCAGCAGATGCAATTTTAAATGGCTCAAATAATGAAATATGTTTTTATTTATTTTTAATGTGACCTGTATTTAATTATTTAAATAATAATAACTCATAAGTTTATTTGTGTAGTACATTTCAGCATCGGTGCAGTTCAAAGTTCTTTACATGATAAAAACATAATACACTAACTTATTATGAAACAAGCAATAAACATATTTTCTCAATGGCCATCATAAAAAATCATCAATATTCAAATATACATACAATATATTGACCCATATTATAGTTACTGTTAATCAAACGGGTAGTTTTTATCCCTTAATTTAAATAAAGACCTTAAGTATGGCCTAGTCAAAGTTCAGACTAAGAAAAGTTAAGAACAGTCTTAGTCTGTTGCAATAAACAGTCTGAAACTTTTAAATGTGACAAACCTCTCTCCCCCTCAAAAAAACCAAGATATAATCAGTAAGATAACATACTTTTTCAGAGAGACAATAGCTTAATACTTTCATAAAACACATGGCGTCATTGTTTTATATTCCATATATCTCTTTTTTTTTCCACCCTCCCTGTGGAAATCCTTTTGCTGTTAAAAGACATTTGGGACTTTCTAGATATGGGGGTAAGCAGAGATGTGTTAATATTGTGACTGATCTGTTTTTTCTTTTAGGCTATGAAAACATTTTTTAAGGAAGTAAAAAAAAAACAATCTGCATTATACAGGGTTACAGAGGAACATGAAGACAATGTTAAAATGCAGACAACTTGTCTTGTTAATCGCCTTTGGTCCCGTCGTCAGACATCTTGATGCTTCTGTAAACACAAAGTAGAAACATCGCTATGAACCCGGTTCCACATTGCTTGCAAAGTGGACTAAAAAGACCTTTTCCTGTTATTTAAATAATAAATTACATTTAAATAACTTCCAAACAACATTTTAAGAAAGCAGATCAGAAAGCCAGTCTGCACTATTGATTGGCAGAACTGGGTCAACTGATTAATTGTGATTAAATCACACTGATCACAATGATTAATGTGATCCTTATCAGCCACAACAATGGCCACATGTTTGTATCATCTCCTACTCTACAGCCACACACTTATCAAACAGTTGAATAAATGAAAACAAAGAAACACCCCATGAGAGACTTTCACCTGCATCTGTCGGTAAATCCAGTTCAGATGGTGTTTGATGTTGGTGTAGACGCCTGGTTTATTCTGTCCGTTGCAGTGTTCCCCCCACACACCATCACCTAAGAGCCACCACAGTCCATCCATCTGGGCCACCAGGGGGCCGCTGCTGTCCTGCTGAAGTTCACGCAAATCATAAACAATCACTGTGATCCGGATGCGCAACACAAAGACTCAGACTGATATGATTTTTTTTTTTTTTTTTTAAATGTTCTTTGAGGGATTTATTTTTATCAATGAAGAGGACTGAATAGTTGCAGTGATGTGACATCATGGTCAGCTGAGCTCTAAATGAACATGCCTTGTAGGGCTGTGCTGTATAAGTGTTTTGTTATAATACACAAAAAGGCGTTTATTTTAATCTGCTGCCATGTATGCAGGATAATGTGGGACTTGTCCAACTGTGCCTTAAAGCAAATTACATAAGAGCATAAAAATGCTTTAAATTCCTCCCTGAACAGAAACCTATCTGTTTGCGGTTGAAAAAGCAGGCAGTCATTTGTCTGGGCGCTCTCTCTTTTACAGCATCAGGTGAGTTTATTATCGATACGATCTCAGGAAATGCACCGCTGATGCCTGAACACAAAGCAGCGACTGTCTGGCTTTGCTCAGGGCAAAGTTATGCAGCAAACTCTGTCAGCTGTTTGTGATACATGTGCATCATGTTGCTGGTGAGTTGCTCTTACATGGCACACGCCGGTTCCTGGTTCTGACTCTGCGGCGCAGAGCATATCCTGCGATATCCTGCCGCTGTACGCCTTGGAGCTGTTGCACTCCGCAGAGGGGATGAGTGACACCGCAGCCTCCATCAGGTACAGAGAACCAGAATCTGAAAGAGGAACCAAACAGGTGAGCTACTCATCCTCGCTTTTCCTCTCTGAGCGTATCGCTCTTCAAAGACGTTTTAGGTCCTGAACTTTGGCGCCATCTAGTGGACAGCTTTGATTATTAGAACCTCTGTCTCACCTTCGTTTGTTGCGGAGCCGAAGTACGTCACCCAGCTCTCCTCGGGCTCAGTGATGTTTAGACCAGCATTGGGGAGACACACGGGTCTGACTTTGCTGGAAGCTGCAGCAGGAAGATGCTCAGTTTTAGGTTTAACAGAGAAAACATTCGTGCTGCGTTGATCAGAGTGACTCTTTAGTGTTGGCTTTCTAAGAAGCGAATCTAAAAGGCTCCGTCTGGAGCCACATTTCAACCACAACCTTTGATTTATCTTATAGATTTACTGGCAGACGATTACAAAGTGACGGAAATGGAGATGGTTTTCAAAAGTTTTAAAAATAAAAAGTGTGGTGTGCTCAGCGTCCATCACTTTGTGTTAGCACCAATCTGACCATGCTGTAATGCTTTGAACGATGTTTATAACGTGTTA